AAACTTAGCAAAGAACTCATTTTAAATTGTGCTGTGCAATATGTCCTTAAAAGATTTGACAAAACTGACCAAGTGGAAGAAAATAAAGGAAGCAGTAGGTCTAAAGAACTATCTACAGCACATGAACCTGAAAAACTGTAGTTTGGAAAAAACATTTCAGTTAGTGGTGTTTGCAATCTTGCCAAAATTGATGGAGTTACTATGGCTTCATTTTTCAGGATGATAATGATCCCGAACACACTGTCAGTGCAGTAAAAGCGTACCTGAATAGAAAAACACACAGTGGAACACTGTTAGTCGTGGATTGGCCTCCCCAGACCCTGGACGTCAATATTATTGATCATCTTGACCGTTATACTCGGTGTATTTCCTTTTATGTTTGCACATTCAAATAAATCTACAAACATATTTCCCATTTTCCCCGCAAAATTTAGAAAAACGACGCGTGACTTAAGACTTTTCCAGACTACAGATTTTATTTCATTTTAATCTGTTTTTAATAACTGGCTCTGGTTGTGAAAATGCCTTCTTTTTTAGTAAATAGCAGTGTGAGTTACATGCGAATGTCAATTCGCAGTGTCTTGATGATCCGGTGTTGTGCCAAAAAGTGATTGTCTGCCAAAAAGTGATTTCCAATGTTTCTGTGTATTTTTTATGTGTAATATCTTTACGTATGTTCGTAAATAGACTTCGGTGAACAGGGTTTACAAAGGGGTTATATAGAGAATTAAAGTTTTTCAAGTATCTTTACAACTCTCTGCTATTGTACTTACATTATAACCAATCCGGTCCTTTATCCCCACTTAAAATATTTTTACTGAACTATTGTAATATTTGCTGCCATGTCTGCTGTCCTCTTGGCCAACTTACTCTTACAAAAGACATTTTTAATGTTAATGAGATTTTTTAACTGCATAAATAAAGGTTATATAAAAGTCACTGCCAAAAACTGATTGCGGCTTCTACCTTGTTACACGAATGTTGTTTGTGGCTCAAGATGACTTTATGTCATCCATGAGGGATGCATTTGACATATGTTTCACATATTATAGCCCAACAAGTTACTTATAGCAGTTTAAATACGAGCAATCAGTTTTTGGCAAATACCGGAAATCAGTTTTTGGCAGACAATCACTTTTTGGCACAACACCTGTAAGTAAATCCCAAAAAGTTGATTCTGTTCATTCCGTGTTGCTAGTCTCAGTCAGGCAAAGGTAGGCTAAGGCTGAGAAAACCTGCAGTCAGCTGAGACTGAAGAAGTTCAGGTAAACAGAATCAGCTTTTTGGGGTCAGTTCGCCGTATTTCCCTTGTTTGAAATCGACGCTTCATGTGTACCAACAACTCTGGCGTAATCATGTATCACTTCCGCTGTTCACTTCCCGCTCTCTCATTAACGTCCTATTCAAATAACACTCGCCTGAAATGACTGTAACGAGGTTGATAACAAATGCGTAACCTTTCCACTTGAGCTCCTCACCTTGAAACTGTCTTCCGAGATCAGGTTGTAATCCTTGAGCTTGCAGAGGAAGATGACCGGGTTTTCCATGCAAGAAATTTCTGTTTTATTGCAGTGTAAAAAGCACAGCATTTCCTCCAACTCCAGGAAATCCAGCGGATCCATCGATGGTCTGTTCTCCCTACTTTTCTACAAAACTGTGCCAGTTCCCAAGAGATCGCACTCACTTATCATCCAGATGTGATATTAGAGCTGCAGCACAGAAATAAAGCGCTGCATTCGTGGACCTTGTGCCGTTTAACAGGAAACAATAAACTCCTCACAGGTCTCGTCACCCTGCTCCACCGTTTACATGCGCGCACAGTGAAACTCAATCCAAGTTTATGTAAAACAAAAAATCACAATGTTGAGTAGATGCAGACATAAGCGGAAGTTTTCCCTCTACGGGTCAAAGTGTCTGATCTGGGAAAGCCGAATACTGGTTTCTCGGTTCCTCCTCTCAGTGACGTTTGGAAAGTGAAACCTTTTTCTAGCGCTCTTCTGTCGGCTCACCAAAAACTGCAGACCGTGCGCATTTCTGAGATTTATTATCCCCCCTTTAAATTATAGCCATGCTTATTTTTAAAGTAGACCCGAGGCTAACAGTCTGGGCGAAACAAATCAAACTCATTCCTGAGCGTCTGACACGAAGAGACCAAAGGGGGATTCATTAAGGTCGCCCACAGTGAGTAACAGTGCGAAATTCAACAGCCTCTTTGATAAAACAATGAGCATTCATGTCGTGGTTGTAAACAGCTCGGCCCAAATATTTTCAGTGCTTTCTGCGCTATGCGCGCTCCCGCTTGGGGCATTATTTCAGCAGGGAGACAGAAATGAGTATAACGTCATAGAGATATGTCACATTTTTTCTTTTCCAGTAACAACAACATAAAATAAATCAATAATTTCATAGTTGGTTTGTATTTGTATATGAAAATAATTCCTGCAAGTATAACTTTAGTTTTTGTGATTATTGATACACAAGCACTTCAAAGAATAACGTTTTTTGTTTTGTTTTGTTTTGTTTTTTTGTCAAGTGAGTCAACACGAGAAAACGAGTACAAGCTGGTTGATAATCCCTTTGGAGATATAGGAACAGGTTTTCACAGTGCTTGGACAAAGCTAACCACAGCATGACCACAGCACTCAGCTCCATTTGTTTATGAAGTAATTCAAGTCTTTTAGTTTTGTAAATATTTCTGCCTAATGAGATAAACGCCAGCTTATCAATAGCAGGCACTGATTGAATTAATGTTTTTATTTTTTCACAGCCTGGTGGCACGGTGGTTAGCACTGTTGCCGCACAGCAAGAACAAGAAGGTCCTGAGTTCAATTCCACCATCAGGCCGGGGTCTTTCTGTGTGGAGTTTGCATGTTCTCCCCGTGTTTGCGTGGGTTCCCTCTGGGTACTCCGGCTTCACTGTCCAAAGACATGCAGCTTGTGGGGATAGGTTAATTGGATAATCCAAATTCAAATTTTATTTGTCACACACACACAACCATACACAGTATGACATGGGGGTGAAATGCTTGTAGCTGTACAATGCCCGACCATTAAATGACAGAAGAAAAGTTTTACAATATTTACAATTTACAGTTTACTACAGAATTTACAAATTAACTTAGGAATTTACAGTAAAGAATGTGCAAATAGCAGAAGAGATTATAAAGATAAGGATTATAAATTATAGGAATTATAGGATTATAGGAAATGTGTGGTGGTGCGTGTGGTGACGTGTGTGAGAGTCCAGTCTTATAGTGACGTGTGTGGGAGAGTCCAGTCCTACACCTGGTTCAGGCCCCGAATAGCCTGGGGGAAGAAGCTCCTCCTCATTCTCTCTGTTTTGGCCTTAAGGGAGCGGAAGCGCTTCCCAGACCTCAACAGTGAGAAGAGTCCATTGTTGGGATGGGAGAGGTCCATCATAATCTTCCTAGCTTTGGACTTGCACCGCTTGGTGTAGATGGACAGCAGGTCAGGGAGCTCTGATTGAATGATGCGTTCGGCCGAGCGCACCACCCTTTGCAGATCTCGTCTGTCCTGCTTGGTGCTGTTCCCAAACCAGGTGCAGATGTTTGCCGTCAGGACGCTCTCGATGGTGCAGGAGTAGAAGTTCTTGAGCACCTTCAGTGGCAGATGGAAGTCTCTAAGTCTTCTGAGGAAGAAGAGACGCTGACGGGCTTTCTTAACCAGGGTGTTGATGTGACAGGACCTTGTCACTAGGTGTGAATGTGCGAGTGAATGTGAGTGCGAATGGTTGTCTGTCCCTGTGTGTTGGCCCTGCGACAGACTGGTGACCTGTCCAGGGTGTACCCTGCCTCTTGCCCTATGACAGCTGGGATAGGCTCCAGTGCCTCCCGCGACCCTGAAAATGAGAAGCGGAAGCGAATGGATGGATGGATTTTTTCACGGTGTGGTTGGCGTTTTGATTAAGAATACATGTCCTCTTTCATACTGATGCTTTTTAGGGGTTTTAATTTATATGTCTGGTGTTTGTTCCCTAGAGTGTCGACCATCTGCTCTTGTACCTCATGATAAACTCTCTGTCACATCTCTCCATGTTGTCACCTTTTGTCATTGTCTTCATAAACACCTACATGCGAACCACTGCATACCTTCCCAGACTCACTTATTGTGTCTGCTCGCCCAAAGCAAACATACAAATATCCGTATGTGCAGGTCATTTACTTTTTATGTTTATGTCATAACAAGAAAATAGATGAGATACTAATTATGCTATAGTCTATAGTGTGTTCCTCTTGAGCGACATTGCACATGTGTCTGTAATATTCGATCTAACTCATTTGCAAAGTTGAAATAAACAATTTGATGAAAAATATGACATTAATAATCTAAACAGAGATTTAGAGATCAGCTGTAACGTACACTCAACCATAGAATACAGTCCTAATATTAATATTCGGCTATGCAAACACTTTTAAAACCAAACGGTTAAAATAAAAATATAACTGACATGTGCACTAAATGCACAGAGGCTAAAGGAGCACAGTTTCATTATGTTTGAGAGTGCAGAGCAATGAAGAGATCACAGCGATGCTAGAAAATGATTTCAAAAGAAATTCCATAAAACTCCAAAGTTATTGGTTCTTATATCCAGAAAAACTTAATTGCGTGTAATAAAAATAAACAAACATTATTATTCCTCATTACTTAAGCATTGTTTTGGGAGGGGAAAACACCCCATTGGATAGAAAGTTGTACGCTGGAGAAGAAAAATGGTGTCAGACCTTAAAGAATGAATAATGTCTACAATGAGATGGTTTGAGGACTCCTTTATTTAAAATTTTGTAAAAGACATAGATATTTAAAAAAAAACTTTAAGTAAACATGAAGTGTGTAGTTTGCTGCATGTTTTGTTTTTTTCATGTAAATTTGAACATTTTGATTTGTGTATTTGTATTTTTGCATATGTTTGTTGGTTTGATGTTTTGTTGTAGTTTGTCAAAAATATGAAAAAGAGTATTGGTAAGGTAACAGTGGGACAATAATCTATATGTCAGGTGTAATTGAATGTTTTTCTATATTCAGTCAGGCTGTAACAGCTGATCGTGGTCCTTGATCGTGTCCCTCTATGTCATTGTAAATGACGTCATCATGCTTTTCCTGACACGTCTGCACTGCTTGCAGAACTTTTGCAAGGCGCCGGTCCAACGCGGACAGATGTGGTTCTGAGAGGAGAGGGGCCACTCGTGACAAAGGATCCTGAGTCAGCGATTCCCGCATGATGTCGCTCAGTCGGAAATCAGGAAGAGACAGCAGACGCAAGCGGAGGAAGGTGGAGCGACGGATCCTGTGGAGATAAGTCGTGTAAGGGGATCGAGAAGATTTTGGAAAAGGAAAAAAGAAACTGGGAAAGAAATATATTTAAACTAAAGCATGTAATTTTAAAATCTTTTAACCATATGCACCATATCGTTTCCACCTTTGGTCGTCTTTTGATAATTTATTAATAAAAGAAGTAGTTTGATGCTATGTTGTAATATTATTTACACCTCTGCTGACTCAGGTACAAATTCTGTTCCCAAACAATATGTTGTTTTAACCTTTTAGCCGTGTTACACTGAGATTATGTAAATGTATTCTAACAAACTAGATAAAATGAACACCAGCTAATGTAATGTTAATTGCCCACTTACAATTTAATAGCTTGATTACCCATAGAGCTACAGCAGCTAACATAATTACTGTGGTCAAAGCAATCACATTAAAATTCCTTTATGAGTTTTTTGAATGTTGTTGTAGTATTTCTGTATAAAACAGCTTGGGAAATGCCATAAACAACTATGAGATTTTACCATGAATATTATATCTTAAAGGCCTTGTAGGAATTTAATACAAATATAGGGTGTACGTATGTTTGGCAACTAAAGTCACAGCCATAACAGCAGACAAAGCCTCAGAAACAGAAGCTGCTGCTTTAAGCTCGCAGCCTCTGAGTGCTGTACACCTGCTTTCATTTCAAGGTGGGTCTCCAACATTAACAGCCCATAGTTTCATTACACAATACTCTTCCACTGCATGATATCTTGTGGCCAGAAAATACGTTTTAGCATAATCTCATCATGCCAAAGTGACCTTTGACCTCTGCATTGTCATCTTCTTCTATTAAACATTCATGAGGCACATTTTGTGACGTTACAGGCTTGAAGAATTTCCTTAAGCTGAGGCGTAAAGGACATATTAGATTGATGAGAATTTGACGTATGAGAGGTTGACTCATAATAACTTTACCTTTGGGGACCAAAATCCAATCATGTCATCTTAAATTTGAAAATAGTCTCTCAAGCTGTTTCTGAGGTATCGAGATCATGAGAATGGTGTGATGTGAGGATAATATAAATCCATCAGGCAACAAGTGGCATTAGCTTAGTTGTTTTTAGATATCTTAATGCAGAAATGTTACTAATTTGATGCACTTCTTCGCTAGAGTTGAGAATTTCTATCACACCTTGTGGGTTTATACACATTTGAAAACTTGACACTGACTCTTTTCTTACACCTGTCCCCCCGTCCATCATTTTTCAGCGCACAGATGAGTAAGCACACATCTTTTTTCTTGTTTTACCTGCAACACTGCTGCAATGGAGCTAGAATGGATGGCTCATCTTGAGAGTGACGCCCAAACCTAAAAAAAGAAAAAACAGGATCAAAAACATTTATTGACAAAAAACTAACCTGACACCTGAGGAAGAAATGAAGTGTAACACGAGATAAGAAGGATCAAAGTTTTGGTACTCACGCCCGTCCATTATCAAGGTGCAGAAGAAAAGTGTTGTTGCCAAATTGCTCAAACGTCTCATAGTGATGTCTGTCCATGTTGCCTTCAGATGGAAAACAATCAAATATCATTTAAGGTTCATGACACTGTTAAAAATACTCTTTAAAAAGCTCTTAATGCAACTGTAGGGAACATCACACTGCTACTTTACTGATCACTAATTTTATAGTTTGTTAAAATTCCTTAGGAAAAAAAGAAAATAAGGAGCGTTATACAGATGAGTGACTCCTATCAACCAACAAACAAATGGGCCTAACTGACTCATGAGGAAGTCCAGGACAGCCATATCTATGAGATCCACCAGTCTGGTTCCTTGATTGTAAGGAGGTGTCTGCTTCACTGTATCACAGTAAGCTGGGTCTTTTTCCCACCTGGGAACAAAAGAACAGAGACACTCAGACAGACAAAGAAAAACAGATCATGGTCTCCCTGTTAACAGTTTTTATTGCTTCCCTTCACATTTTTCTGCTTTTGGGGTTCGAGTTAGTGCAGTTCACCTTTGCTGTCACCTCATTTTGTAGTTTAGGTTAACTCAGATGTTTGAATTCAAAACTTTATCATTAAAAAGAATGCAGATTCTGGATATAGTGCCTATTTGTTTTAAGATTGTTTACATCTTGCAAGTCTTTACAGATACCACTAGAGGGCGGCAAACACCCACGATTCTCTAAACGCGTTAGACCAGGAACGTCAAACTCGTTTAACATCATGGGCCACATACAGCCCACTTTGATCTTAAGTAAGCTGGACCAGTGAAACTCCCCAGTGCAAAGTAGCTTAACTGCACATTTAATCCCTGAGACATCTCAATATAAGAAAAAGAAGTGCAATGTCTCAGTATTTATACGTGATAAAGAAATGCTGCTGCTGCCGTTAATGAAAGAAACAAGTCAGCGCAACTCTTTGGGCCGAAATTGTAAAAAAATAAAATAAAAAGTGTAAAATTCAACAACATTCTGGTAACTAATCGGCCAGACTGTCCTGTAATTATAAAGTGGACAGATTTGTTAATTTACAGAAAATGTCAATTTTTTTTTTTACTTTTATTTTTGTTTTTTAATGTGGTTACATTGTAAAAAAAAAAATTCTATTGCAATAGTGAAAAAACAGTAACTTTCTTCTCATGTTTCTTAACTTTTTTATCTGTTACATTATTTTTGTAGTATGAGATGTTTATCAGCAGGACAAGCTATAAAATTTATGAAAATACCATTAAAAGTCCAAAATGTATGCAGGGCCAGTTCTGGCCCAAGGGCCTTATGTTTCACACCCCTGGTCTAAATCTAGATCTTTATTTACACTCTATGCACACACTTATCAAAAGTTCCATCAGAGCTGCTTAATAGACAGTATTTTACTAATACCTAAAATACACACAGGAACTGTTTCTATTATCTTGTACTGGCTGTATTAGATTGTAAGCAATATTACTACAAGGTTAGTAATCATCCTTCTATTGAGCTGGGGTTCAGATTGTTTAAAAGAAAGACACTGTGATCATTAGAAGTGACTCATTAACAAAGCATTCCAATATTTTTAGCTTTAAAAAGAAAAAACATTAACAGACGACATCCAACGAAACTCCTAGACTCCTAAAAGTCTTGTTTCAAAACAGGCCACTCAATATAATGTCATCAGTCCATCCATCCATCCCTACTTAAACAATTCAGGGTCGTGGGGGGACTGGATGCTAGCCCAGCTGCAATAAGGTGAGAGGTGGTGTACACCCACAGAGAGACAGACAGCCTTTCTCACAGTCACAGCTATGGACAATTTACAATCACCAATTAACCTAATATCACTAAATATATAATTCCATTCAGGCAGTTTCCCACTCACAGTTAGGACGTTTCTAAACATGTACTCTGTTCAGTTGTATTAAACTGCATTCTGTATGTTAGTCAGACTGAGGTATGATCAGTGAACCCACTGTGCAAGCTTGGTGCGGCTGTAAGATCGCCTCCATGGGGACCTCCAGGACCTGCGAGGGGCAATGGTGAGGTCAGGCAGCATGGTAGCCAGGGAAACCTCCAGCATATGTGGCTGACCGCACACCGGGTGCTCCACTGAGCAGTAGTATTCACACTGCCCATAGAAACACACGTTCCCAGCTAGAGAGACAGCCATATATTAAAAATAAAGATTTTAACAGAATTCAGTCCAATAGTTAGTTTTTGTTAAATAAACTGAGTGCTGGCGTGAGCCAACACTTACCCACATGCACCTGCACACATACCAGGGGAAGTGAAGAAGGTCTTAGACAGCCTGCGGTCGGTGGTAATCTCTTTGATCTCTGTGGTAACATTGATGAGCCGTCCAACCACTGGAGGGATTCTGTTAAAGCCCAGCAATCTGAGAAGGAGGAAGATACAGAGCGAGATGAAGAGATGGAGCGAGTACAAAGAAAATACATTTAAAAAGGGAACACAATGTGTCAACAAGAGCACAGGAAGTGTTTTCTTTTTTTAATCTTTATTTGTGTGCAGCATTAACGTCCTGTTTACTGGAACACCATCATCATATTCACGCATTGCACTGTCACACCAGAAAGCTGCCCAGTGCTACGATCCTCTGACCTCCTGGAAACTCCACATGTACACCAGGATCAAGACCTTGCTCAAGGGCACGACAGCGGGGTTAGTAACCACAGAAGAAGTGCTGCTTTTTCTCTTTACTTATCCAGCAAAGTGCAAGAATGAAACACTTGGTCAGGTTTTATTCTTCAGCTACCACTGACTGCTATTAAAACCTTTTCACACTTCTACACTCTGCGACATCTTCATGAACAAAATACTCAAGTGCCTGAAGTGTCACCTGTTGTGCGCCTGCCCTCAAGGACGCCTGCTACCTGCCGATCGGATGTGTAATGACGCGTACCTGTCAAGGTGAAAGGCAGCGATCTCGGCGTTGTGTCTTTCAAAGTCAGAGAAGTAAAAGAGGTTTACATCAGTCTCTGCATGTCTGGATTGCCTGTGCAACAAACAAAAGCGAGCACATAAACATGCTGCTGTAAGCGCATCTGTCATTTACTAGTCAGCATCACAAAACACAACAGGATGAATGTTTCTCAGATCGCTGCATTGCACCGGTGTCTTACTTCATGGGTTTGAGCAGAGCTTGTCCATAATTTGGGAACGATATGAGCAGTTTCAGTTGGGTGCCTCCTTTCTTTTGAACTAAAAGATACAAAGAGGGTAGATATCGGGAGCACAGCAATAATACAAAGGCACATCATTGCTTACACAAGCACTCTTTATCATATTGATCAGCCACTGATAAGAAACGCATCACAGAGATGCATACAATTTAGATTCACTGCAGTGCATTACATCAGTTCCTCCACATGGTGGCCTGTTTTATAGTCAGAGCACCAACTGCCACCTCCATTTTGAGCATTACTCCAACAAAACATGTATAAAATCGATTTATCTTAGTGCTGAGGCCCAATATTATGCATCATTATTTTTAATACTAATGCTTATGTTATTCTTGTAAAGCCTTTGCATATTTATGATACCTTAAAATATTCCCTGCTGCTTCTAAACAAGCAGATTAGAGTATCATTTACATGCTTTGCCCCGTTTTACCTTCACAGAGGTCTGCATCGGAAGTTTCAATTTTTTTTTCTCCCCCATTCTTTCATCCCATCAAACCTGACCCACTTTATCCACACTTCAGACAACTGGGCAATGTGAAGCATGTGTTTATTCTCTTTCAAGTGAACTAGTTCAAATCAAGGTTTCAGAAAAAGAAACAGCTTTTATTTGCTGCAGACTACGGCTCTGTGAGCAAATCCTGTAAATGAATAGAAAGAAATTGTTAATATAAACCAAGCTGTGCCACATTTTGATCCATAATTCGTATTTCTGATTCTGAATATGTACCCAAATTTACACAAGATATAGGTACATGCAGGAATGAGAGCTAAATGTGGGGGAAAAGGGATGACACAGTGAGAAAATTAGCCTGTAGCCGAGATTAGTGCTTAATCTGCACCATATAACACAAATCTCAATGCATTATTCATTCTGCAGCATGCTGAGCATGGGTTTGCCTGTCTAAGAGAACCAACCACAAAATGAACATGTAGACATAAGCATATGTTGATGCAAAGGAAGGTGCATGAATATTTTATGCTTATATTTTTTGCTTATGGATAGTACATGTACATCCAGTCTTTATGTAGGCACTTGTGCATAGTGGTGGGCCAGCTTGCATGTGATTTTATAGCCTTGTTCGGTTATGCACCCTTTCCATTTATCTAAGAGTTTCTCAACAGATATTAATAGTAGGTAGGATCTAAAAACATCTCTTTTAAAGTGGCACAAGTCTGAATGCCTGCAGTTACATTTATGGAGAAGCATGCGAGAGAATATAACAGTCTATGTCTCTCATGTACATGTGAGCTGCACAGTTTGCTGTTTTGTTTTTATGAATGTCTGAATATCTACATACTGGCACTTTTGTATCTCAATTCTGCTTCTCGTTTGTAATAAAATTAAGACAGTAATCCACAGTGCATTTTGCTATATGTGAGGCGGTGCATCATACAGCCACACACACACAAAGATCCGGTTGGTCCCTCCCAAGTTTAATGATGCTTGGTTTCATATTTGAACATGCTGGTCCCTTTTTAGCATCATTTTTCAGCATGCAGTGTATACCCCGCTAATGATATGAAAAAGGTTTTAATCCATTATCTGTTTTGGGTTTGATGTCTAAAGCCAATAAACAGCAAGTGAAATTGAAAAGAAAATACACGAAGCATCAACAGGGAAACCACAGTTATATCGATAAAGGATTTTCAAGACTGATACTAAGACCAATATGTGGTGTCTTATAAATCTGATGATTTATTTTACTTTCAGACACACAAAACAGAAAAAAGATTTCCCTAAATTTGTTTTTGTAGTCATGTATGAGTCCTTACTAAGACAATGGCAAAGCTGTTTGGAAATTGTCCAGTTTTATCATCTCAAGAAATAGTGGATTACTTGGCTGTAAAAGAGGTGTGTTTGGAGGAGTAGATTTGAGGCTTTCAAACATAAGGCCACTGTAGCAATTATCAAGCATGGTGGTGGTAGCATCAAGCTTTGGGGCATTTTAGTGGACAGAATCATGAAGGACTACCTCCAAAATCTTCAGCTTCAACTTAAATCAACGTCTGATGGTTGAAACTTGGACACAACTGGGTGTTCCAACATGACAGTGATCCCAAACACACATGGAATGGCTTTCTTAAAGCCCTGATCTCAACTCTATTGAAAATTTGTGGACTATGTTTAAAAGCCTGGTCCATGCCAGGAAACCAACCAATTTAAATGAAACCACCTCCACCAATCCTGCTGAGAAAGTGGTCAAATATCCAGCCAGATTTATGCCAGAAGTTTGTTGATCACTGACAAAAGCTTCTGGTTGAGGTGCAAGTCAGGAAGGGACATTTAACCAAACAGTGAGGGTGTATACACAACTCCGAGCCTGTACTGCATGTATAATTTTATATTTGAAATCCTAATTAAATTCAAATTCTTGTTTTTTAAAGTTATTAAAGATGTATGCTGTACAAATATTAGACCCTGGAAAAAGAATAGTTGAAAGAAGTCATTAAAAACCCCAAATTACCATGACGTTTATGGTCATGTTGATTGTGTATAAACTTTTGACCATAATCTGTGGTGTATAGGAAACCTATACTGACAGGTTGAGATGTCTGAATATCTGAATAGCTTCTATACACTGGCCTTCTGTTTTTAATTCTACTTGCATGTTATTCCATAGTTTGTTTGTTCCAGAGCATGTATGCAGTTCTTCTGGGGGCTGTAAGAAATCTATATACCTTCACACATCCACCTTCCTCATCCTCTCACTTTGTGTCCACAAGGAGTTGTGAGTTATATAACAGTATACCTAATCCTCCTGGGTTTGCACTTTCATTCTCTCTAAATGTGTTTTGTCGTTTTATTTGCATACATCAGTTTGTGCCTTTATCATCCCATATATGTGTCTTGTTTCCCCAAAGACAATGCTCACTGCTGTAAATATGAGCTTTGGCACACTTTATTCTATTCACTCAGTGAATACTCAGTCTTGCCTACGGCTCTCTTACAGATTAGCTTGTTTGTAATAATGGATCAGTTAAAATGAGAAAGCAGCAGGGTTGTGACTTTGTAGCTGCTAAGAGGAATCCAAATGAACATAAAGAAGAATTTACCACAAGTTCAAAACGCAAGGTAATGAAAAGCTCATTTTTTAAGTAAAGAAAACTTGCTGTATCAAACTACGCAGTCCTTAGAAGTCCCTCTTTTGGTCACCTTAAGCAGTACAGATTACAGACGGATGTTTTGGTAGAATATTTATGAAGGACTATGGCCTGAGCAGGTTTCCTAATTGACTCTCCTCATCGTGGCATTGCAAAACAACCTAAGTCTCATTTCAGGATGTAGTTTGTGGGAGTAGCAAGATAAAAAGGAGGTTCATTAAGAAAATTGTACCTGCCCCCCTTCCTCTGATCTTTCTGGCACATTTCCCAGGCCCTGTTCTTTCCTTCCAGTGTCTTTGGCCTGTTAACCCTGCCTACCTCCCTTATGTGCTCACCTGCGCCAAGGATACGCTGTGTTGCCAAATAGTGAGTCAGCTGAGCTAGGTTGGGGTCTTTCCTGTTGTACAGCTCCCAGCGAGAGATGCCCAGGTGGAACCGCAGCCAGGGAGGGTGGGTCTCCACATCAGTTGTCCATGTGACTTTGTCATAGCCTTCCTCGTGACTGTTGCTTTGCCTTCAGGAGAGTATGGAGACATAATACTATAACACCTGCAGAACTGTTTAGTCATGAACAGAAATTCAGATATGAAACAAACTGCAGTTTTAAAATAAGTTAAAAGTCTAAACACACCAATTCTGTGGAAAGTTGAGCAACACAGTGATATAAAAAAAAGAGCTTCCATTGCATAATATTCATTTGGCAGCATGAAGTGACACAAGCCTCATGGCGAGGAAATAATGGGATGCTGCATTGCTTTAATAGTTATTTCTAAGCATGAAAGTGTGTTTCAAAAGTAATTTGTTGTATAGTCTATTCCAATTTAAAGACAGTCATGTTTCTGTGGCAGAGTGAAACTATATACCCACGGTATGCTAACATGCTTATAGAACAAAATCATGTGAAATAGAAAAGTACATCCTCTTTCAATTCTAAGGTTTTACATATCAGGATTTATTGAATAAACATGAATTCCTTACCAGGTTCTACAACTATTTAAACTTGACATTAACAACAACATCATGCGACACACCATAGGTGTCAAACTCTGGCCCGCGGGCCAAATTTGGCCCGCAGCCTAATTACATTTGGCCCGCGAAGCCATACCAAATTATTATTAGAGCTGGCCTACTGGTATTATACAGCTAATATATATATTGTTTAGTATTAAGCTTTGCTTGTTCCATATTCAGTTTTTCAGCAAAACTTGTTTGAGTCCATAAGAAAAGATTCATTCTTATATCTAGAGGAAGATTTTTTTTCCAATAAATATTAATGTTAGCCCGTGACTTTGTTCCAGTTTTGAATTTTGGCCCACTGTGTATTTCAGTTGGACACCCCTGCATTAAACCATGTGATTATTCATTAACAGCCTCGAGAATCACCTTCAGCTGTAATAACTTTAAGTAATTTGTGCTTGGGATCATTGTCCTGTTGCATGACCCAGTTTTAGCCAAGCTTTAGCTGTTGGACAGATAACCTGATGTTTGACTCTTGAATACTTTGGTATACAGAAGGGCTCATGATCAAAACAGACTGCAAAACAAGCCCAGAATTATCACCCCTCCATCACCATGCTTGACAGTTAGTATGAGGAGTTTATGCTGATATGTTGTGTTTGGTTTTCTCCAAACATGGCGTTGTGCATTATAGCCAAACATCTCCTCTTGTGTCTGTCCAAAGGATGTTGTTCCAGAAGTCTTGCAGTTAGTTCAGCTATAACTTTGCAAACCTAAGCTGTGCTGCATGGTAATCCTTTCAAAGAAGATATTCTTGTTCACTCTTTTTCTCATCATGACCTTTAACATTTAATAGCTAACTGATGTTTGTAGAGCCTTATATTGTCAAGACGTTTGTCAATTAACAAGATTGTTTTGAATGTTTTCCACTTGTGAATAATCTTTCTCGCTGTAGAATAATGGACAGCAAAGTGGTTGGAAGTACCCAGCGTTACAACCTTTCCTACACTGATGTTTTGCGTCAGACCTGCAAACCTCTGCATTTATAGAGGCGCCTCAACTTGCTGATGACCAGTTAATAAAATGCATTTGATGGTAGAGGATAAGTAGCAGCACCGGGCTGCTATTTATCCTCTTAATTCTTAAAGTAGCAGCAAGTGTAAATTAATTTTTTTGTTAAAAAATAATGACATGGTGTCATATGTGGCATGGTGTTTGAGGTTGTATTTACTGCATTTTAAGCCCACTAAGAACCAGATAATTTTTATGGTGTCCTGTGTGTAAAACCTTAGAACTGAAAGAAAATGTACTTTCTATTTCACATGATTTTAAAACATTAATTGTTTACTTTTAATCAGTTTGTATTAGCAGTTTAGTTTTGACTATCTAGCTAGAAAAACAGAATATTGTTTTTTAATTTAGTTTACAAAATTTACAGATCTACAAAAATCAAATTTACTATCAAATCGTCATTTTACACTAAAAACATGCATGGTGTTGCTAGCTGATGAGCATAAAGGTCTGCTGGATGGGACTAATATTTCATAGCTACATCAGTAAAGAAAGTAAAGTAAAGTAACCTTTGAATGTTACCAAATGAAAAGCGGGCTACTGTAATTAGGGCAGAAGAGCTAATCTTTTAGAAACCAGTGTTAATTATTCTAGGGGAGCTTCACAATGATGCAGAACGTAGGGCAGGTTATTTTCAAAGCCCTTCAAGTGTTTTTGACATCTTTTTTACTCACCACTCACTATCGTCAGGGAAGATGTCTTCGTTCTCTTCTTCGTGACTTTCTGTATCCTTTGCATCTTCTTCTGTTTTCAGCCTCATTAGCCAATCATCTTGCTGCAGCTCTGGCTGTGGCAGATTGTAAAGCGGATGCTTGAACAGTGCCCCAAACTTAGAAGGACCATCGACTTTCTGAATTATTTTTCCAACTCCAATCAGTTTCTTTGACTTCTCAGCGACCTCATTTAATGAGCCTCGGACTTTATGGTGTAACATGTTTGCAGTCGGTTTGTGACGCACTTCATCGTGGGGGCGCCTCTGCAGTTTGTTTGAGGAGGCAGCATCAGAAGCAGGAGACTGGGAGACAGACTCGTGATGTTGAGTATCTGTTCTGGGAATGGAGGAGGAAGAGGAAGAAGTGGGAAAAACACAGGCAGTCTGGAGGACTGAAAGGCAAAAAAATGCCAGAAGGACATGGAGACTGAGGGACAGACAAGCCAGTCCCAGATAGATGGAGCGAGTGGACTGACCCAGGTTCCGTCTAACCATGCTGGAAGATAAAAGGATAAAACAGACCAAGGAGGCCTGTTAGCATTTCAGACTTGCACATGATAAAATATTTCCTACATATTGCATAATACACAGACACCCAGATAAACAGCAGCATGTATTTCATGCTTACTTGTAAAAACAGACCTGCCATATACCAGATTTCATGGTAACATGCTGTAATGCAGCTGGACTAGGCAAACTGCTAGTGCTTGCAACATCTGTGTGCTGCTTTGTTTGGTAGGTATGAGATTTACAACTCAAAACAAAATGACAGCCTTGTGGTCCGTGTAGCAAGAGGGAAAGTTGGGTGATCATCATCTTCATTAAAATCTGTCATTTTGGAGCCATGAGGATGGTAAAATCCCAGCGGAATTGGGAAAATGTGATAGTTCCTCTAACCATCTGCTGTCAGTGCTTAATATGAGAGCCGCGTTGGAAGTCATTAAGCTCACTGAACGTCTGCGTGGTTGCTTCCAAATATGGCAAACTGACACCATTCAAAGTGTAGTAAATGTTTTTACAGCATCATGATCCGATACACTGCACATGGACATTTAAAGAAAATAAACGAATTATAATCATAATGTCTCGAATTGTAAAAGGTTTCAACATGCTTTATTTATGACTTTTGCTTCTTTCATATTAAACATGATACTTGCTTCATTTGTGGTAGATTCATATATTTATGCAGTATAAGAGTAAAGTAAAAGACAAATACACTCACTGGACACTATATTAGGTAACGGGTTGAGTCTCCTTTTGCATTCAGAACTACTTTAACTCTTCATTTCAACAAGATGCTGGAAACACTACTCAGAGATTTTGGTCCATATTAACATGGCAGAATCACAGAGATGCTGCAGATCGTAATCTCCAGTTTCACCAAATCCCAAAGGTTCTCTATTAGATTGAGATCTGGTGACTGTGGAGGCCACTTGAGTACAGTGAACTCAATGCCATGGCCAAGAAACCAGTTTGAAAGGATATGAGATATGGTGTGTTATCCTGCTGGAAGCAGCCAACAGAAGATGAGTAAACTGTAGTTATAAAAGGATGGACATGGTCAGCAACAACACTGAGGTAGGCTGTGAGATTTAAACTATGCTCAGCTGGTGTGAAGGAGCTCTAAGTGTGCCAACAAAATGTCTTCCAAAACCATTACACCACCACCACCACCACCCTGAACCATTGGTAGAAGGCAGGATGGATCCATGATTTCATGCTGTTAATATCAAATTCTGACCCCACCATCCATTCAATGAATAGTTTCAGTTTTTTAGACCATACTTTGTAAACACGACAGATGGTCATGTAGGTAAATCCCAGTACACAGCAGTTTCTGAAATACTCAGACCTTCCTGTCTGACTCCAACAAACATGCCACGTTCAAAGTTACTTAAATGACCTTTCTCCCCCATTCTGATGCTCAGTCAGAACTCCAGCAGGTTGTCTTGACCGTGTCTACATGCCTAAATGTGCTGAGTTGCTGCCATGTGATTGGTTGCATTTCCAAGCAGCTGAAACAGGTGTACCTAACAAAGCAGTTAGTGACTGTAAGTCATATAAAATGTAGAAACCAAAAGTATTTACTAAGTTTGTTCTTTTTTTCTGTTCGTGTTGATACTACCAGAATAATACTGAACTTTGAAAAATTCACGAGCACAGTCACAGTCATCAAGATGCTGTTAGACATCTGCTTGGGTCTTCTAAGTTTAAACATAATTGAAATAATTGTGATATTAAGGAAAAGGGTGTGAAGCACATTTTACACACAGTAAATCTTTAAAAATCCCAGCAAACTCTAAACACAGCTTTTGTGAGGCCAGCTATTCATCCTACTTATTGTCACTAACAGTCCTTAATGCACAGCTCTTACTGCATTGTGTGATTGAAAAGGAAAACAGGTTGAGAGAGACATGCGTGCATGCGTTCACACAGCAGTAGTTAAGCATGAAGCTACCAGGCAATCATTTGCATAAAATTCTCAAAGAAAGAAAAGTTCACTAAGAAAATCAATATATTATTGATCAATTTGCTGCTTCTTTATGTGGAGCAGCAGACTGGAGACTTACATCTCTTTCCTGTCAAGACCTTTTTTCTTCCCACTCTCGCTCCGTTCCACTCCCCTGCATGTGTGGACTAGAAAGAATTTAGCAGTAATTTTCTGGTCCTGATCTTACCCAGTAAGACTGCATTTGTGTGTTTGTTTGCTGTCATGTGGTCACTGCGGCGCAAACAGAAAACTGGCGTGTTGCGGTGACCCGTGTCTCTGTGACCCAGAGTTACGATATTTTACTTTGGATCAATGCAGATTGCATAATTAAGTCAATGCTAAACACAAGTCCTGTTAGAAGTGGCTCCAAATCAGGATGTCACTATTTGTGATTGGTAGGTATCACCACGTATTCAAAAACTATGGATCCATTAGTTCTTCCATTGTAGCCCACCTTGCTTCTCTTTATATTTTCTTGTCTTCTCATAGGCCCTGACTTAAAATGAAAATCATTTTTGCCCCCTGGATTTGACTTTCAAGAGGACACTTGATGCAGTTTGTGGTTTGTATTTGAGGAGATACATATATATATGTGTGTTTATATACATATACTCCAAGTGATGTCCAATGCAGCAGGCTAGATCCACTTTAGATTAGATTCTGGCAGCGCAGGTGCACACACCCACATAATGAATTGGTATTCTGAAAGAGCTCAGATTAAATCAAATATTCATTTTGTCTTCTTTCAACCTGCCTCTGTCCTTTATCATAAGCCATCCATCTTGTATTTCATTCCACAGCTTTAAAATCCTTTTCTCCGACTTTCGATATTCGGTGCCTTATGGGGATTGAAAAATTGTTCTCTCCTGCAATCTAATTAGCTAACGAAATGTTCCTATTAATTAGCTCACTTTGCTCTGAGAGACAATGTATTATTTATGTTGAGGCAGGTCCCAGTAGAACAGATTGATGTTTTCCAAGCCTGCGGCAGTATGCTGTGGCATTATAAGACGGTTCCTGTTGTTTCATTACTTGCAAACAACTCTTAAACGTCGCAAATCAGGTTACAGTTAAAACACACATGCATAAACACTAGCATGAAGAAAGGGAGAGAAAGAGAATAGATGACTAGTTACAGCTCTCATGCATGACGAATTTATTCCAATTACTCATCGTGATGATAATGTCTCTGCAGTCGTAAACTGGAATAATACTTGGATGTAATGTGGACTGGAGCCATTAAAGCTTTAATGATTCATGGCCTGATGTGCTAAAGTGCTGTGATGTTTCAATGCATTTTCAATGAAGCATAAAAGTAAAAGTGTGACGAGTGCATCAGAATCTATTTGGATGCATTTTCAGTGTTTGGAGGAGGCTTGTGCCGCACGCTGTATGAGGTTTTGCAGATTAGCAGGGAAACAAATGCTCTGTTTTATTTTTTGAGCTTAAAGGTTCCTCCAGTTCATCCAGAGGGAAACATTACTTATTAGAATTCACGACTTTTTTTGTAGTGCTTTTATTTATGTAGCACCAAATCACAACAACTGTCACCTCAAAATGCTTTATACTGTAAGGTAAAGACCCTACAATAATAGAGCAGAAACTCCAACAATCAAATGACCCCCTGTGAGAAAGCACTTGGCAACAGTGGGAAGGAAAAAACACCTTTTAACAGGAAGGAAGCTCCAGCAGAACCAGGAAGATGGGTTACAGCAGCAGAAGACCACACCTGCCACTCCTGTGAGCTAACAACTAAGACTACCATTCACATAGGTTTCACCAAATCTGGACAATAGATGATTGGAAAAATCCTGCTGTGATGAGTCTTGTTTTCTGCCGCAACAATCAGATGATGGGTTTTAGAATTGGACATAAACAACATAAAAGCATGAAACCATCCAGCCTTGTATCGATGGTCGTGTGGGGTAGGGGAAGGGAACTCCAGGCTTCGAGAGAAGGTGTCCGGTGTCCTGCAGGTTTTAGATGCGCCCTTGATCCATCACAGCTGATTTAAATGGCTAAATTACCTCCTCAACATGTCTTGAAGTTCTCCAGAGGCCTGCTAATGAACTAGTCCAGGGGTCAGCAACCTTTCACATCCAAAGAGCCATTTGGCCCCGGTTTCCACGCAAACGAAAACACTGTGAGCCGCAAATACTTTTTGACATCTAAAATGAAGATAACACTGTATATATTGTTTTTTACCTTTGTGCTTTGTGTGAACAACTAAGGTGTGTTGCTTATGAAATCCATGAAGTGCTAATGAGAAAATTACATTTTATTTATATAATTAACACATTTTGAACTCTTAAATAAATATAACAAAAGGAAAGACACCCAGCTGAACTAAAATGATCCATGTAGCAAACAAAAACTGTTATATCGCCTTTGGGCTTTTGGATCCTTGACCTGACCGAACTTCTGCTCCTGAACCTCTGCGCACAGCGTCTGCAAATCTGGGCTGTACGAAGTCACTTTCATCTTTACGCAGGACAGTAAGCTGTCATCGGTGAGGCGTGAACATAGTTCACGGTGGAGAACAGCTGCTGACATAATGTGGATCCGAAGATCCATAATTGGCCTACCTGGGGTTGAAAGTCTCGATAAATGCACGGCGTTTTGGCGGGTACACCGGCTTCCGAGTGTGACGCTTATTTTGAGCGATGAAAAAATAATAGAATATAATTGTATTTTTATATTTCAATATCACAGTAATCTTCCAATTTATAACTACAAGTTAAAAAAGAACTAACATAAATAAAATACACTTCAGCTAAATACTTCTAATTTATTTTCCCAAACCACGCGGAGCCGCGCTATAAGGACTAAAGAGCCGCAGGTTGCCGACCCCTGGACTAGTCATTTGTTTCAGGTGTGCTGACCCAGGGTGATATCTAAAAGCTGCAGGACACTGGCCCTCTCTCGAGGCCTGGAGTTCCCAACCCCTGGTGTGGGGGATACTTTCTTTGCACACTGTAGGCCCCTTAATACCAACTGAACATTG